GTTGGCGACTTGGTTGTCTTTAGTGCTGGAGTGTTTGATGATGGCAGATTTCTCGAGATCCCCCCGTCGTCCGTGGACTCGGTGTTCATTGAGTCTGGTAGTGAGATCTCTGCCAGTTTCGCCAATGTACACCTTGCCGCATTCGCAGGGGATCCTGTAGACCCCTGGCGTGGTCTTGTGGTCTTGTTTGTCCGTGTGAGACTGGAGAGTTGCTTGGATCTTGTTGGGGGCGGTATGGAAGACTTTGATGCCATGGTGTAGAAGGATGCGCTGGATCCGGTGGGAGGTATTGCCTATGTAGGGGAAGGTGACAGAACTAATGTGCCTAATGGGTTGACCTTGGGTATAGGAGACCCGCTGGTCTGGGGGGGGTCTAGGGTCTTGGGTCTTGATCTGTCTTGACTTGAACCCGTTCTGCTGTAGTGCTGTGGGTCTTCCTCCTAAAAAACAACAACCATTTTTCATTAGTCGTTTCTTCCAAAAATGCTGTTGCCAATCATCGTATTTTTCTTTTTTATCTCAGATAGAATTAAATGCCCTGGGTTTTTCCAATGCAAGAAAACCGGAGAGTGTATTTTTTGGGATCAAGTTTGTGATGGAACTAAGCACTGCTTAATCGGCGATGACGAAACGAATTGTGGTAGGTACAAAGTTTAAGTTTGAGAAAAACACAAATTGTTGGCTCTTCCTAAAACGTAGTCACTAGCGCCAGAATGGTGAAAATGTACACAATCTTTAAAGGGTTCATGAAGACCTCCATGGACAAACTGTTAATTAATCGTTTAAATATCTAAATACGATGGAGGTGTAAATATGGAAAAGAAAATCCTTTCTTGTGGTTAATTTTGCTTTTAATCCTAACAATTGATGGCGTTATGGACGCCATCAATGGAATATGGACATTAGACCATAACAATTTACGTGGCCGCAAAATGTTCTAACATAAAATGCACTATACACTCTCCACGTGTAAGACACCCCTGCGTACCGGAAAAGAAAAACATTTGCACGTGGTAGGCCAGCGTGTTGGCAATTGCATAACATGTTGGTGTCATGGCGTACATAAATGGGGCACCTGGACCCATACACACGACCATACAAAACGTTGTGGCTGGAAATGCGCACGGAATAGTTTAAAGCTCGCTGTGGTACTGACCATTCGGCTGTGGTGAGCCTTACGTTTGATGTCCAAGTTCCTCTAAAGGTTGTCTCGATTAGAGTGATGCAGGCTTACCCAGTTTGTATAGGTGGCAACAATTTGGTTGGCATGATATCTAAGGCACCCACAAATTAGACTGAGTATTCCGAACTCGACCCAAGGCATTCACATTCACAAATTCACAAATTTTCTATGTTACTGCGTTGAGTGTCCTCAGTCTTTTTGGACGGCCTTCTTGCTAATTATTTGATTGAAAAAAAAAAAACCTTTAGCAACCTCTCGTGATATCCTACCTCTGTTCGCGCTGAACGTCCTCATTTAATTACCGTAAACATAGGGTTTCCCCCTCAGGCAGATAAAATATACTTTTGCAATTTTTGGTTAATTTTTCCTCCCAATTATGAATCAAAACTACAACTTCACATTCCGTATATCCTGAAAAAAACTAATTTTTTGTTTAATAAAACCTCTTTTACAGCCGCTTTAACTCTAAAGGATCCAGGGCGAAATCCGCACCCTTCTCGACTTTTTTTCGACATCGTCGCAGTGCAGTTTTTCAGGAGCTGAGCAATGCAAGAGCCGTTGAAACAACTCTTTGTGATCAATTTGTTAAAATCGAGCACACCGTTCTTGCGCAGGACCCATTTTCCCGAAACAGTTCCGCCAAAAAAACTTCTTCACTGCGGTGCTCAATGCGCGCAAGCAGGCACGCGTGTAGCCTCAGACGTAAAATGACCCAAACAATAAACCCATGTTTCATCGATTTCGAACCGTTGGGGGTCAAAATATCCGCCAGGCTACTGGGTAGCACACACGTGTTTTCAAGAGTGCACACATAAGCAAATGCTGGCCAAAGACATTTCTGATTCATTTCAGGGGCAGTAGCATCCGCGGAAACCCCTTCCCCTAAATTATGTTAGTGGGTAGGTTCTTTTTTTTATATTCATCATCGCTAGATCTCTGTGGAGAGAA